ATTAATAACTACTATACTAGATATAAGGCTAAAAAATAGGAGGCTTTCCTCTATTATAATAAGGCTCTATTACTAGCTACTATTCTATAATTTAATATATATAACATAGATTTCTAGCTACTTATATAGATCTATAGTATAGTAATATTATAGATAATTACATAAACTAAACTTATTAAAATTAAGGAGAGTTATATTTTATAGGTTTAAATATATTAGTTCTTATATTATAATAACAATCCTAAATAACTATTAAATTACTTATTAAATATATACTTATTACTTTACTTAGGTATAGTATTTTATTAGGAATTAGAAAATTATTACTAATACTATTAGCTAAATATATTTAAGATATTAGTCTAGGCTATAAATTTTAATCTCTAGTAATAGAGGTTCAGATAAAGGATATATAAAGTAAGAGGTTAAATTTAGACTAAGTATAGATATTACTTTAGTAAAGTATATATAATTCTAAGTACTTTAGAATATATCTATTTAACCTAAGCTACTTCTCCTAGTAAAATTACCCCTACTATAGAATACCTTATATCTAATAAGCTTTAGAATATTAAAAGTAGACTTAATAACTTATATAGTCCTTTTATTAAATATAAAATATAAGTATAGAGAATTCAAATTAGATTAGAAGAATAATTTTAAAAAGATATATATTTTATAAAACTAGATTATAAGATTAGAAGAGTTATAAAAATAGTAGGAATATAATTAAAATAATAATTAGGTTATATAAAAGTATTATAAGAAACTTTCTTTTAGCTATATAGTTAAGTATACTATTTAATACTACTTGGATAAGAGTAAGATAGAAATAGTAGTATTTATTAAGAGGTTTTATACTTAGTACCATCTAGATTTTAGCTTATATTACTATAAAGAGCTATTAAGTATAATAATAGTAATTAATATAGATATTATCTTTAGTATTATTAGTAAGATTCAAATTAACCTAGACCCTTAAGGTCCTAGGAGGTAGTATTTTATAGTTAGAGGTTAGAATATAAAGGGGAGGAAGTTGTTTTCTCGTAGAGAATAGTAGTTAGTTTAGATATAGAGACTATTATACTTTCTTTGTTTATAGAGCCTTTGTATAAATTATAGATTCTTTAGTATTTAGGTTCTTTATTATACTTGCTTTATTTATACTTTTATAAGTATAGTACTTAGAGTAGAGAGATAGAAGGAGACTTCATATTTATAGGAGTAATAAATAGAGGTAGATTAATTACTAATCCTTTATTACTAATCTTTACTCAGTAGACACCAGTGGGTGACAGAATTCGTGGGACAGCACAACTTCTAAATTACGTAATCAAGAACACTAAAAATTACTACTATTCAAACTTTTATTACCACTTCGCAGTCTTTATAGGCTTCCCACTCGTTTTAACTAGTAATTTACATCGCCGAGGCATATCCGCTATACGGGCACGAACTTCCTCCATTGTAATCTTACTCCATTCGTCCTGAACCACCTCCTTAAGCTCCGCAATTGTATTCCATACTCTCCGACGTATTCTTTGCTTAAGGATATTCCAAAGAGCCTCTATAGGGTTGAGATCTGGGGACTGGGGAGGGTGGACAAGGTTCGTGATCCAATTAGCCCTTTTGAGTACTGATGCAAGGCTATCTGGGTTCTGTATACC